CTATAGGGATATGGAGTGATTATAATACAAAATGGTAAGGTTACGTGTGGGTGTTGTCTTGGTCCTTGTTCTCAGCGTCTTCTATCACGGTGTTAGCCGCCACGCAGTTTATGCCGCCTGTAAAGGGGAAATAAGAGTGCCTGTTAGTGCCACTTCGGTATCCAATTACCGAACGTCAATCAGTTTCGGTTTTACCCCACAATACAGTTACGATAAAAAAAGCTACGGAATTTGAAAGCCGATTGATAACTTAAAACTGTGACATTTGTTGATAACATTCTGAAGAAAATTTGCCTGAGAAGAATGTGGACTGAAATCCCTGGCTTATTCCTGAACATGATTGTTCTCATTTTGCTAAAGCCTCCTATACAATGTCCTGTTTGTGGTCGAACATTATCCTTCCTACCAACTGCAACTGCATTCGAATCCATTCGAACAACCGAAGAACCTGATTCAGGCAAAGACTTTATGGTGGAAAGTTCACACGTGTCCCTGCGCCCGGCAGAACTGTTTTCCGTGGCTTCTGCACGCACAGATTCAACTGCACGGATGCCCAACGTGCATGACTCGCCTAATCACACAACGGTTTTACCATTCATTGAGACGGTTGAAGAAGCCACCTCGCTGCAAGTATGTCTACAAGGATTGTTATGATCATTTTGAATATCTTCAATAATTACTGTGTTCTAGTCAGATTAGTGAAAAACCTCGTCACTGGGTATTGTTATCATTGACCCGGAATATATCTAATTTAATCATTTGTCGCTTCAATGGACTTCGTTAATTTACTGCAGCCTGGCCTCCTACCTACATGCGACGAATTATTCGAACGTCCCAGAAATTCATAATTAGAATAAAGGTTATCAGTTGAAATATGTCCCAGTGACTCAGATGGACATTTAGATATTACATATGATTCAATACGGATGTTAGGTTTTTACCTGGAAAAAAATTTGCCATGTTTTTAACATCGATGCCGGTTTTAATGCTATCAACAAGTGACTGAAATCGCCGGCACAATTATCGCAGTTGAGAAGACATGATATTTCCAACAATCATTCCTGCGTTTGCCTGTACAGTGCGAATGATGTAGATCACATACGAATTATGACTCGCTAACATGCATCGTTTTCATCTTGTATCTATTCTAATCCCCATGCGAATGGTAGTGACAGTTTTGGTCGCAAACAGACAACCGGCCATTTATAAGTGGATTGCGTCAAACACGTTGACGTGGGGCAACATCATAGGAGAAACATGAGGTAACATTTTTTAATGATGTTTGAAACTCACCCATAATCCTAAGTTATATATGATGAATAAATTCGTCATTGTATTCATCGTAGTAATGTTATGGGCACAACATAACAATCCCTGGTCCCAAGCAAAGGCGAAATAACTATCGCAAATGATACTTGAGTGATGAAAACGGACTCATTTTATGAAAAATATAGCACATACTCTCTAGGAATACAAACGGAAAAAGTAGCTAACAAAGTATCGCTGTTTATACGGGATTCGTATCAGATACGTATTTGTTTATTGCCCACTAAAAAATCGATCTTTAGTTGTGTCGACGGGCTTGCATTGTTTATGAGTCAGGTTAAAACAACTGTACAGTGAGTGCTTCCCAGTTTCAGTTCACGCTTGCTTTGCCCTGTACACGACTAAATTCACCATGTAAAATGATCTTCGCTATTCATAAACTCTGTTTTCATTTATTTCTACTGTATTCGTAGAACGTAAATAGTAATAATCGTTTTCTTGATGAAATGCTCTAATTTATCATTCATTCTGATGCAACCATAAAGTGTTATCTCGATACTGAATTCTCAAATGGTTGTCTTGCGATTACTTTTCTCGTACACTTAACGATTCCACCGGTAGTGAAACGGAACACAGCTATAAACGTTTACGGTGTCATTTATTGCGCAAAAGTTATGGTAATTTACAGGACATAGGAATGCACATACCAAACGATTGGTTAACTGAATTATTTTAGACCGTCCTGATTGGTTGTCAGTTCCGACCAATCACTTGAGCTCTTGTCTGTTGTTGTTGTTCGGATTGGTTGACTGAGATCAAAACAGTTCTCATTGTGTATGTTGGCTGCATGATTTATTGACATATAATCAGTTGATGAACTAGACCATAAAAAAGCCTGGTAGAATTTCGTCCCCAATCGAATCGTTTCACCAAGATTAACAACCAATGAATTCGCATTTTGTGTTTCCATTCTTTGCAATGCAGACAAATTTACGGAACAATGTTGATACAAAGTAATTGTGCTGATATTTTCAAACAAAATGTCTCGCTGGGTCAGTGATATGCTGATAAGTGGGAGTATTTACTCGTCGATCACATAACTAATCGAACACAATTCATTTTGGTTATGGGGCTCCCAAATTTGAGTGGTTCGAATAAGCACACAGAAAGCATCATGTAGGATTACATTTTTCTGCATATTCTCCTTAGTCCAGTGTCTTTTGCTTTACAATTCTTCTCTCATGTAATAATGTATGTCTCATTACATATAAGGATACAAATAAATACGGACAAGAGCTGTCCACATCGCATATAAATGATCGCATTCCAAGTGGATTGGCTGCACGAAGCACGGACGCTTCCGTTGTTTCACAAACCTTAACGGACAAACTGTCACAACCACCCAAAGAATCCGAACCGGTTAACGAATGGATTCCGCTATTGCAAATAGCGGATAATCTCTTAAAAAAACCCGGCCCACAGAAAGGATTTCGGAAACCGGTAAGCCATGCTAATCACTTGTTCAAAACAATAAATGCAAGCCAGTTTCAGTTTGATCGCATTGGTTTCGAGCAGTTGTTTTCTGTTTCAAATGATACAACAGTGCCGCAAACAAGAATAATACGGGATGAAGTACGCCAAAGTTACTTCGCATGCAGTCATTAAAGTAGACATCATAATCGCTGTTTTATAACATGTTTTTATTTAATTATATTCGTCTTAGTATCTATTTTCATTCGTTTTATTGTATATTATTTTGAAGAAATAAACTGATAATCCATAGTAATAAACTCATAAAAATAAAAAATAAAATAAATAAAATAAAAAAATAAACTCATAATAAACTCATACAGCAGACTATCCTGATGTTTCAATAAGTGCGAAATGTAAATATGAAAATAATGCAGAGAATAACAGCACGCTTGCTATCCCTGAAACTAGAATCAGGATGATTTAATATACGGGATCAAAACTGATCATTGTTAGTAGCACTCTTTATTGATGAGATAGTCTAGCTAATCGGAAGAGAAACAGGTTACTCCAGCTTGACAAATTTGGGAACAGAATTGACTTAACTATCTCAGCTTTGGACTGATTCCATTTAGATTCCTACCTTAACTGCGAAAACATCACCGCAGATATACAAGTCACCGTTTTCCGGCGGATAAGCCTTAAATTGTGGGTATCTGTAAAACGAAGATATGGTTAAAGGAGCCAGTACGTCGCCCTGTTTTTGTCGAGTACATGTTGTACATATATCGCTGTTGCGCTAATACCATTCTCTGTACAACACTGCACGAAATCGGTAGGTCAATGGAAACAGCACTGGGCAGATTAACTTGGTATTATGAGATAAATGTAATCACAACCTTATAAAAGTGTTTGATTTTCACTGCTTTTGATGACAAGGGGAACTCGTGATGCACGTCACCGACTGTGATTCCTGAATGTGCAATGAAATGCAGTTGTGGACTGCCAGGCAATAACGTTTTAACTTAGGTCGTCTCAGACGTCACCGAGGCAGGCTTGAGATCATGATAATTACTGGATGGAGATAGTACCTGATGTCGTATTCAACGTGAGCTCCAGAGGCAGAAAATACTAATGACGAACCTGATAAATATTAATACTTATGAAGCAGGTATTGGGTGAAACAGTATCTATTGATCTCAACTATTAGTTGTTTTAAAAGTTTTGCGCGTATAGCGCAAAACTTTGACAGTATTTTATGAGCGCCTTTTGGTACATGCAAACAACGAATGTGCTCAATCGTGATAGAAGGTAAACCGAAATGGGTGTACAAATAACAATTCGATTGATATGATTCAATTTTAAACCTCTTGTTTCTCGTTTCTCTACTTTTAATTTTCAGCCTACCACAAAACACAGTTCCGTTGACACGGCTCCCGTCGTACCAATCAAACAAGATATTTATCGCGGTCTTCAACGGGATCCTCTAAACACAATTGCCGAACAGCCGTTTGAATCAAGCCATCATGTTCCGTCTTCCATAGTACCAATTCCAATAGTCATTTCAGATAGTGTGGGGGACTTCCTGGATAAACCAAAACAATGTCTTCAAGAAAACTCATTGGCGAGATCGATTGAAAGTGATCGATTGGTAGGTACAGTTTTAACAGTTCAGCTCCGACTAATGACACCACATAAGACACTAGGTGGAGACAGGAAAGTGTTCACCTGTCATCAAATACCCGCGGTGTTTAGGATCATCGGCAATTCATGTACCTTAGAGTTTGGAATGAAATATTATCAAAATAATACAAATATCCGAACTTTACCTTAATCGAGGGCTGAGAAAATAAGTTCCGGATGCGTAGTAAAAGTACGAGTACAAGGTGCGGGCAAGTAAAACGTGAACTGTAATCTATTGTGAATATCGCTGAGTGATTGAAACTCACAGAACCAAATATCAACAGCCGATCACAGGTCATGAGTCATAAGGTTCGCTATACGGGGACTGTAAGTATGAAACTCAGTCGATTTCACTGGAGGGAGATGATTCTCTACGGCTACAATGTGGTGTAAATTGGCACCACAGTGTTAATCGTTTTCGTGCTATCTTTAATGATGACGCGCCTTCAGGAAACATTGTGTGAGTGGTTTGCGGAATGCAAGTATGACAGGCGGTCCCTGGATGATGAGACACGTTGTAGTTGACCTGAGGAGGTTACCCCAGCGGACACTATTACTACCGTGCAAGCGATACTAGAGGAGGCTGAGCGGATGACAGTGACACAGTTGGGGAAGTCATCGGGATCAAGCTGCACCATCTTACATGAGAAGCCTGGTCTCAGAAAGGTTTGCGCACACTGAGTACCCCATTAGTTCAGTGAGGAAAACAAAGTGGTGGTGGTAGTGCCGCACCATTCTTGCCAGGTTTGATGGTGGACGTTCCAATGCAGTTTGGGAGATAATCGTTGTTTATGAGACCGGGGTGTACAGTTTTGACCCAAGTAACAATGGGCTTAGTGGACGCCGGGTTTCGGGGCACGATTTCAGAAATTCCGACATGAGAACAGTCTGGCAAAGCAGATGTTAGTTGTGTTCATGACCAAAACCGGTCACGTGGCTGCTGCTTCGCTCGTACAGCAAAGTAGAGTCATCAGAGACTAGTACACTACCCACTATCTTCCGGCATTGCTGGAAGCTGTTGTCAGGCATCGTCCAAGGACTCAAGCACGAGAGAACATGCTGAACCATGATAAAGCACGTGCCCACAGGTCCATGTCGTCGGTGATTTTCTGGATAGAGAACGCATCCGGGAATCCGGTCACCCAGCCTACAATCCAGCCCTAGCTCCATGTGACCTTTTATGTTGCAAAATGTGCGTGCAATCCAATACCAGTCATCAAAAACGGCAGTGGAGGCATTTATTGAACTGATCGAAGGGTTGCTAGCTTCGGCATGGTGGAGCTGTTTCACCAAATGGTTTGAGCACATAGAACTGTGCATGAACGCTAGTGCAGAATACTTCGAGAAAATGTCAGCTTATTTTGTGTAACAAATAAAACATTTGTGCATCAGGAATCTTTTTGTTCAGTACTCGTATGAATTGCTTGTGATCGATTCTTGCACACAAATTAGTGTCCTATCAACAAGCAGCTATATTGACAGCTTATCCGTTTGGTCTCAGTTAACTGCCTAAACAATTATCTGTGTCCAATGAGTATTTAAGTTCAAGACAAAATATTTCTACTCCGTACAACCTTTGTGCTGAGTACATTTGTACCACGGCAAACTGAATAACCGTATAGTGTGGTAAGAAAAATTTTACTTGCTTTTAAACTGCTACCATTCTGTATAATTGTTTCAAAAAGTTTATCAGTAAACGAACATAAGTGAGGAAATCACCTAATTTACACACTGCTTGATATTGGTGATGACCTTCGTTTTCCAGCAACACTCCCATTATGCTTAGCATTGTCACTTGTCTTATACATACATTGTCTGCTGTATACTATTTTGTGAAAAATTTAATATTTCAATTTATTCGGCTACTGGGCTCACGTAGACCGCTTCGATCATTGTTGTTTCTATGCGCTCCATCAATCGTTCAAGACCACCTTCGGTGTGTCCACAGCCTATGCCACAGATCCGTTCTCTGACTATGTATCGGAACGACCGGACTCTACAGTTGTACCACCGGACAAAGTGGTCCCCGTGCAAAAAGAGCCTGGTTCGTATAGCACAATTGGTGGGGTGACCACACCGAGAACCTTCCCACCGGAATCCGCAAACGAGCCTCAGCAAACAGTGGAAACAGAAACGGTGAGTAATTTGCGGTTCTGGAATCACAGACAACATTGTTAAAATTGTTGTTCGACAAATTGATGTCTTATGGTGAAAGTGTGAACAGTTTCATAGCCTTCGTACGTCTAGGCGTGGCTTCAAATCCCACCGAAGCTACCGAACTTTTCACCACTTCAACAAACAGAATTATAGCACGTGAAAACTATACCTTCCGCCGTAACTTCGAGTGAATCCCATCAATCGCATTCCACTGTAAACCCCACAAGACGATTGCTGTTTCGGCCGTCAAACGTCGCCGATTGGCCCCAGTCGGTCTAAACCCCGTCCAGTCTGAATGAACTAACCTCTCCGTAAACTAACAAAAGTACTTTTTGAGTGAGTTACTGAGCGGGGATGAAATTTTCTGCGGGATGGGCTGGTCGTCCAACCCCCCCCTCCCCACCCACACCCGGGAACGTTATGTTCATGATCGTTGATCGAGCGTGAGTCATAGATGCGAGTGAACGAACCTGGCGATAATTGACCTCTGTCGGTCGGGTAAGGAAGCGAATCACGTCAAGATGGATCGATAAGTCGGTCACCATGCCCAAACGTGAGTGTTGGAATGAGTCATTGCACGAGTGGATTCAGTCTAGGCCCTCAGTATCCTACCTTATCCATTGGGGCAGTAATTCCCTAAATAACACCAATTCCTTTGAAGCAAGTGCCATTGTCTACGTATTTCTAACTTTGAAACGCACGCTTGACAAGATAATTAACAATGATACAAGGATGCAATGAAAGAATTAACAGTATTTCACCTGAATAGTAAGGTCTGATTTGAACCTATTCACTAGTTAATAGAAATCCTTTATTTTCTGTTTCCCGGCCTGACTATTGCACTCAACTTACAATGTCAAATGCAACGATCTGTCACGTGCAGCTTCTCCTTTCGCCACACAGCTTCGCTGCATAAGTTCTAATGCTTCATGTTTCATTGAGCAACCCGTTGCTTCTGTTCACATTCTGATTGCGTCCGTTCGATTCTGATAGTTTACTGAATGAGACAGATGGTGATAAGAATGATTTACAGTTCTCCATAATCCCACCAACGACAATAACTCTGTACTGGGTGTTCCGTGGGTTATTAAGTTGAGATGGATAAAGTATCCTAAGCGTGGTTGCCTAACTATTGATCCCCGATTTTCTACAAAGTGAGGAACAGTTGCTTTCACTGACGAATTCATGAAAAGTCCTGGAAATATGTTACAAAAGGGCATCTATGTTGCCACTGAATGTCGGATAGAAGAAAAAGGTTCAGTGATACTGCGGGTGCCTCTTAGCAGCATGTTTCTCGGATGAGTGGCACCACGAAGGATTGCGCGAACGAGCTACCTCTCNAAGGTGGAAAGCAGAGACAATTTGTTCTACCACGAACTAAAATGAGCTTATTACTCAACTTCTGTTTAGTCACTTGGGTCATCCGGATTGTAGAAAATTGTGCATTTTCTCACAGATAAACTTGCCTGTTTTTATTTTATCGGAATGAGATGGTTGATTTGTTCGCACGATTCCCGACAACTGAAACTTAATGCGTTCAGCCAAACCAAATCTGTTTTCTCATCGTTCGTCTAGTCCATCATGCAGTGATTGACAACTGAGTTGTTTTCAACTAATAAAAAAAGGTCTAACCGGAGCGGTCGGCTTTCCACACCAGATACACAGACAATTCAGGGAGTGTATAAATTGAACTGTGAGTTATGACCACACATTTCCATTTGGTACAGTTTAATCGAATACGGGGGAAATTTTTCGCGTCTCGGAGACGCAACACACATCAATCCCCAAAGTGTATATGGTACGAGCCAGAGACGCTTGTTTACCTACCTACATCAGCGTCCACACGTTGAAAGCTCCGGATTCAATGATGGACGAGGCTTTAGAATCTGCAATCTATTTAGTGGTAAAGTACTTACCGTGCTACTTGGCAACGAACTTTGTCGAGTTACGAACAAGTTGTTTGATGGAATGTTACAGGTCTGAATAAGGGCTAAAGGGAGAGGGTTGGGTACGGAAGATAAACAGTCAAACAAAGGGTGGGGTGTCTGAGCAGTAGCCCACATATCATCACCCATCCCGCTCTATGCAATGGACAGCGCGGCCCCGATCATCCCGGGTGACGACTGATGCAGTATGGATCACCGAAAGTTCATAAAGCAAGCCCAACTAAGTCAGACTGCTCATTAAGATAAGGAAACCACATTTTCTTATATTCCACTTAAACAATCTTAATGAGAAATCTGTTTAACTTATTCGATCTCGATAACTTCCTCCTCGGGTTAATACAGTTATGTATAGGGTTCAAAATTGCCCGGTTCGTTCAGTCACTTCGCTTACCCTGGCCTCAACCTGACAGCCGACAGAAACGACCGTGACCTTTGTCATGATTCATGGANAGAACAGCTCAATCTATCCAGCGACTGCGACCATTTCCAAACCACACAAGAACAACACCAAAATACTCTGCCTTTTCATTTCCAAACCACATATAACAAGATCACAATCAACTAATCATATTCATCACATCAGCCCATTACACTGGTTTGACAATTTTGAGCCCTATACATAACTGTATTAGCCCGAGGAGGAGGTTATCGAAAATAAGCTTTGTTCGCTACAGTGTTTTCCTAATGTCACGATGGGAATATTCAATGAAGTATTTAGTCTCATTATTATTGTTATTATTGTTGTGGCGTTGGCACCATACTTGTCTACAAGCCGGTGTTATATATATATATATATATATATATAT